AAAAAAAAAAAAAAAAAAACGGGGAAAAAGGAAGCCAAAAAAGCGGCTTCTACGCTCATTTCAGTTGCATGCCTACGATTTGTTGCTTGTACCATATGCCTGGCCAAATGGTCGCCCGCTCGGACGGTTGCTTGGCTGCTCGACGCTGTTATGAATTAGTAATGGCACATCGGGATATGGGAATCCACATTAAATTGCGCTCGCTTACAACCCCACCACAAAAAAAAGGCGAACATAGTGGGTCTTTTATGCTTGTGTACGTATCCTTTGTTTTGTATTTGGCATTTTGTGTTTATTTCCGCGCAACAAAGCCAACACAACGTCTGCACCAAGTGCCTTCCTACCCAGCCAGCAGCAGTCATTGAGCGCCTGCCGGACAGAGTCCAAGCAACAACAACCCAAATGCGACGCGGCCCATGCCGTCGATGGGTATTGGCACAAGAGAGACGCAAACGCGTTAGCCAAAGTCAGGCCAAGTCAAGTGTGTTGGCAGGTTTATGCGCCAACTCGCTGAACTTGGCCAACAAAAACAAAAACAACTAGCCGATAAAGTTTTAACAACAGCTAAAGCAACATATCAGCAACTAGCAGTAAAGCTTTAAAACAGCAGAAGCAACAGCAATAGCAACAGCACTCAGGCAAAGCCATGTTCCTTATGTTGATCCCACATCATCAACGCTTGTGAGATTATAAAATTTTATGATCTTCACAATCGGTTCGCATCGGTGCTATAAATGTATGCGTTTATCGCTGGTTTTTGTAGTTTTTATTGTAAATTGTGGTGTTGTTGTTGTTGCTGGTGGTGGTGGTGATGTTGTTACTGCTCAGTTATTGTTGTAGCTGTAGCTGTTGTTTCGCATTTATTGCCGGGTTTGTTGTTGCACATTTTATACGGTAGGAGGAAATACATGGATAATTGCTCGCACTCAACATTCAACAGCCGTGCCGCCGCCATCGCCGCCACAGCCGCTATAGCTCAGCAATCGGTGAAGCCCCTGCCTACGAAGCCAGGATTTATTTTTTTTTTTCGTTCCTTTTTTTTTTGGTATAGTTTTAGTTATGCTCTTTGCTTGCGAATATGTACTGATGGGCATAAAAATTTGACGCGCACATTTCGTTCGCAACCAATGTCTATGAGAGCGCCTTTAACCTCGTTTTGTCAAAGCTCGATTTTCATAGGTAGCTGTAGTACAGTGTGCTGGATTATACAACTAGTTGCTACAAAAATCAGCGTTTTTTTAAACTTCATTTAAAATGAGCATGTTTTTAAATTCATCGTATTCCTGCATATTTGCCGTTGAAATCCGAGATTATTGAAGTGAAAATCTGTTTGCAGTAGAATAAAACAATTAACAAGAAAGCAAATGTTTGGCGTTTTTATTTTCTGTTAAAATTGTTGAGCATAATCTCACATTCCCACTCATTCTGACCCCCAAAGTGAAAGGGAAGCATTTTAGAATTTATCAAAAAAAAAACAAGAAGAACAAATCCCAAATAACCCGCTAAAAAATGAGTTTTAGATCATATCAAGTATTATTCAAAAAAGTTAAAAAGGCGCTATTCAAGCTCCTGCTAAGGCCAGCAGGGTGCCTGCGCTAAATTTTCGGCGCCAATATTATATAAATAAAAAACAGTGAGGCCTAAAAGTATACAACATGAAAAAATAACTGATGCAGTGCGTAATCTGCCAAATTTAGCAGTATGAGGAGCATTGAACTAGATGTGGCTTCCAGGTTAGGTAGAAAACCTGCTCGCAGCAGACTAACCCGCAGTCCGCTAAGGGCAGGACACTCGCCGAGCATATACTCCACTGTCTCCTCCTGCGTTCTGCATCTCCTACATATCTTATCGTTTGTCAGAGCCAGTTTGTAGGCGTGCGATGCCAGCAACCAATGTCCAGTTAGAACACACACCAGTAGCCCGGCGTCCTTCCTCTTGAGGGAAAGGAGAAACTTCGTACTTGCCGCGTAACCCAGTACAGATGTACGTCACTATTGGTATGTAGCAAATTCCGATCTGCTCTGCACTCCGGCACACTTCTACAGATCCGGGATTACATATTTAGTCAAGCCCTCCAAGTAAACTCGACGATACACTACTGTGACCGTAAGACCTGCACACACGCTGACCCGTAGCATAAAACCAGGCGACAGTTTACGACGCGATTTTCTTGGCCGATAGGTCCGCCAGCAATAGATGCAACAAGGTGTAGAGTGCCGCCGTCGGTGTAGTCCAGCCGCTAGATAGAATTAAAGTTATGCCTAGAAAATTGTAAGCCGGTTTGGCTTACAACGACGTCGACAACCATAATACGGGCGATTTACATATGTATATAGGTATAATGCTGACTAGCTCTTAAAACGTATTTTACTCTGCAGTAACTTTCAACATTTTTGCCTAGCAACTACCACATTTTCCTCACTTCGTAATCACTGTATGCCCATTGCTGGCTTTCGCAAACTTTTTTACTGCTAAATTAGCGATCATGTCGGCTTAGTTTCTGTTCTGTTTACTGCCGCAACCAAATTCTTATTGTTAGTCCATTTTATGTGTTATGTAGTTCAGCGCAGTCTTTAATGTCAGATTTTCGCTGTTTATATGTGGCTCTGCGTTTTTTTTCTGATTTTTATTTCGGGCTTTTTGTTTTATTTAGCAAGCCATTCTTTTTATAATGTGCATACATATGTATGTACATATGTTCAGATTTGTTGGTTAACGACAGTGCGCCAAAGCATCGACAAAATCCATATTTATGCCGCACAAATTTCATATATCAAAATTTTAGTGGCACCTTTGAAAGCAACTTGGTTGTTGCTTTTATTTGTTTGTTATTTATCTTTTACAGCTTCGCTTCGCTTAATATTTCTTTCATACATACATACATACATGCATACGTACTACTCTTCCTTGCGTTTTCATACCTGTTTTTTTTTTTGTTTTGCTTGCCAGCATTTAATGTGCGCCACTGCTTGGAATTTTGAATTTTTCTCAATGAAATTTTTTTGATTTATGCATTTTTGCTTTCGAAAACGTCATTATTTTTATGCGTCAATTTTTTGCCCTTTTCATTTGTTTGCATTTTTTTTCTTCCTGGCTAGCCATCTACTTGATGAATATGCAAAAGATTCCCGAAATGCGCTGAGAAACGACTTCTCGAAAATGCCCAACTCTAACTAACGCATTTCATTTGGGTTCACTTAAATAGTTTCCAATGAAATTTTCGTCGTTGTCCTTTATTTTCGTTTTTGATTTTTTTAATACTCGCATTTTTTTTTTTATTTTTTGTTACTAGCTCACAGACAATTTTTATTTGATCACTTTTCGTTTTTGTGGTAGTCCATATATTTTATAATATTTTTGGAGTTCATTTGAATTTTATTTTATAGAGTCGGCTGCTTTTTGGCGCTTGCCAACGTTGCGTTGCAGCGATAATTGCGCGCTCCGAAGGTGCTGCCAACACTTTTATTTTCGTGGGAGAATGGCCGCATGTCTGCGTTTTTGCGGTTCGTTGGTTCGCTTTGGTCTGTCTGTTGTCAGCTGTGCTACTTCCTGCTGTGCGAAAAGGATTGATGGATATTCATTTTTTTTCTGTGTGAATAATTATGTTTGCCAGGCTCAATAGCATTAACGGACTTCTATTCTAAATCATGCTTGCTTTGTGGTATTTTGGTTAAAGTTCTTTGTGTAACTCGAAACTTTGTTGGAGATTGGGGTTTGAGTGAAAAGTATTAACTTTTTTGGATAAGTAGAACCAATCGAATTAGATTGAGATTAAAAATGTGTATACTAGATTGCATAGAACAATGTACCAGCTATCTTCAGATTAAAGCGTGGGTATTAGCTAATTGTTTTCTGTACCTACTTATCTTTCGAATTTGAATTTAGATGAATGCGCTTATGACCAATTTTTAATTTGCAGTTTTTCCCCTTTCTTCTATGAAATAGTCGTTGAATACTTCTTATCGTCCATCAGCAAAAATTTGTAATCCCCAATGTGTTTAAATGGCCAAAAATTTGTGTCTGGTTATATCAAGTTTTTAATTGCCTTACATTTGTATGTGTTTATGTAAATTTCTTATTTGAGCAAAAATTTATATCCAGTTTTTAGGCGACCGTATATCCAGTTTTAAAATGATCAAAAACTCCTACCTACTTGGGAAATGGCAAAAAAATTGTAGCTGCATTTTGAAACCTCCAAAATTTTATATAATTTTTTAATTGACCAAAAATGTATGTCAAGTTTTAAGGTGACCAAAAAGTTAAATCCACTTTTCAAATGACCAAAATTTTTAAATAGCAAACCATGTATATCCCATTTTCGTTAGATCCAGTTTTGAAATGACCAAAAGCTTAGGCAGAAGGAAATGGCTAACAAAATTTCTAGCTACATTTTGTAATTTCCAAAATGTTATATCATTTTGTAATTGGCTATAAATATGTCCAGTTTTTATAACCAGTTACCAAAATTCATACCCAACTAGCAATTACCCGGCGTGCTTCGCTGCGCCATAAATGTATTTTTGTGTTGTAAGCCTCTCCCAAAACTCATATGACCTCATTTATACAATATATTTAAAGAGCTTTATGAAGTAAGATTTAAAAAAAATATTCGATATATGAAGCATTGTTTACTTTTTTGAGTGTGGGTGTTAATTAATATCTTTTCGAAGGTAATTAGAAAATATGTAAAGTACACACTTTCTTTTGGAAATTTAATTTATAATCTTATAACTGGAGTCTACTATCGCACCCTTTCCTCAAACGTGTGCTA